CACAATAATTTTTACATTAACAAAATAAATTTAATGTTAGTTTTTCACTTATTCTTTAAAAGATTTAGTTAAATAATAGAAATAAGGGATATTTGTATAATAATATTCTATACATATATAGTATTATACAAATAATGCCAGGGCACGCAGGGAACCTGCAGTGACCTGGCTTCTGCCTATGATGCTGCTTCGGTATAAAAAAAGTGAAACAAATTTATACATTTCTTTATAATGTTGAAGAAAATTCCAACCTCGTTAAAGTTAGCGCGTGGTGTGGCATCTGACAGCTAGGTAAAATTTTTAGCACCGACTATCGGCGCGCCAGTTGAATGTCTCTACTACCGTGTAGTGAATGGCCACCTTTAGTAAAAACTCGCGGAGTGATGCGACGTTCGCTTGTTCAAATCCCGCAGCCACCCACGATTGCAGCGCGTCTATGACCGGTTGGTACATCGCAGGCAGCGTTGACCGAGGCTTCACCTCCTCCAACACGAATCCAGCGAGTCAATGAGTCTGATGAATGAAAAGTTGAAACGCGTCAACGCTTCTTTACGCAATCTGTGCGTGGGTTTGCTTATTCATAAAGTGTGTGGATGGATGGATGAAGACGACTGTTCGTCTGTTGTGGACCAGCCACTTATGTGATTTCCAAAGGATATGATGAATTGGCTTTCTTATTCGTTATGAACCGTTATAATGTTCATTCGTGAATATTTCAAGTGATAGAGAAACCTACGAACAGGTTGGAGATAAATTTGGTGTTGAGTAATGATCTGGGGAAAGAACAATAGCCACACCCATCTAGCAAAGTGGCGCTATAAGTTTTTGATTCAAAACATTCTCATAGTGTGGAAAATGTTTCCGGTCTTGGATGTCGCTGCTTATAAATACGAGATGCTAGGAAACTATTTCTTGGGCTTCGCCCAAAACGAACACCATATTCACCATTTCTTCTTTATAAAAATTCATTTTCAAACACGTTTTTATTATAATGCTCACAAAGCTAATTTTGACAGTTTGTTACTAATCAACAATTTATTTGTTTCCAAGGATGATGCGATATTTTAGGGAATTAAGCCGTTCCATATAAGACGTGCTAATAACCGGAAAAATAGCTGTAAAAAACCCTTATGTGTCTAGTGTCAAAAAAAGCTTATAGAAACTCGAATTCAAACTTGCACAAATAAAAATATACAGGGTAATGCATTAGAAATTTTTGGGAAAAACTACAATTCGCGTTTTTGACCAATCTGTATGAGCAAAATGAAAAATTCGAAAAAGTAACAGATAAGATAAAAGCTGAGATGTGTAGGTTTTTTGTGATACAACATTCAGCACTCCTAATTCCAAAATGGCGGATGATTGAGGGACAAAACACCTTACATCTCAGTAGCTAATCACCAAAACCCCATAGTATGTTATATCAATCTTCTTCTTTTGAATTGGTTTATCGAAATATGCGATAAGCTTTATGGCATTCCATTAAACAAATCACAACTTTGATATGTATGTGAAAATTGGGACACCCTGTATAACTGTCAATACTTTAGAAATGTGTCCTCAAATATCATGTATATAACATTCCATAAATAGATTTCCCGAAAATGTATTTGTTTATGAGTAATACTATGTCCACACATGGATGGGTCACCCTGTATACATATATATATATATACAGGGTGTCCGCAAAGTTGGGGTTTTCCTTTACACGACGTGTAGATCTTGAAAACATAAGCAATTTTTCTTAGTACCATATACATCAATGTCTTAAGGAACCGAGATAAAGGGCTCTGCAACATCAAAAATATCTGAATAATGTCCTGTAGCCGCGACTCGCGACATCACCGAGTTGTACAAGGTCACTGGCTCAACCCGACGACAGAACTGGGTCGGGGGTCAGTATGCAACCTTCAACCGACGGTTACGGTCACGCGTGTAGAGGTAATCGCGTAGACGAGAATCCCTCAACAAGCACTACAGACGTGGCTAGAGAAGTGCAAGTATCAAAAACTAAAGTGTGGCAAACGCTGCGTGCAGAGGGGCTGTATCCGTTTCACGTCCAACGTGTGCAAGCCCTTCAACCTGACGATTTTCCAGCAAGAGTGCGGTTTTGTGAGTGGTTGTTGCATCAACATGAAAATAATCCGGACTTTTTGAAGTGCATATTGGTGACAGACGAATCTACGTTCACGCGTAATGGGGTGAATAACTTTCGCAACACTCATGTTTGGTCAGTAGAAAATCCGCACGCTGTCCGTCGGGCACATTTTCAACAAACATTTTCGGTGAATGTTTGGGCTGGCATGGTGAACGGTATGCTCATTGGACCATTTATTCTCCCAAATCGATTGGACGGGATGCAATACCTAGACTTTTTACGCAACATTTTGCCTTCCTTGTTAGAAGATGTGCCATTAAGTGTAAGACAATCAATGTGTTTTCTGCACGATGGTACACCGCCCCATTTTAGACGCGATGTGCGTGAGTTTTTGCATGAATTATTTCCGAATAGGTGGATCGGACAAACTTCGTTCTCAGAATTGAACAAGCTGGTGCTTTCATTCGGGGAGGGACTCCATTCTCAAAGCCTGCACCGATGCATGGCTACGTCGTGCACACACCTGTGTTTTTGAATCAAACTGCGATAACTTCGAACAATACCTATAAAGTTACGTTTACCTAAAAACTGAAAACGCGGCAACGCCGTCATATTTGTTACCTCTGTTCGTGGTCTGCACCACCGCCTGCGTCCTGCTCGGGTAGCGCATCAGCTGATTTCATTTTCTGTTGGAGCGGTATGATTTCGGGCAGAGACGTACTTAGCCCTTCTCGTCAACTGGAGAGTGAGTACTGTTTCCTTATTTTTTTACTTGGTCGCCCCTCGTTTCACTACACATTAACCTTTGTTATTTCAAGGGTAGTTGTTTCTTAAAGGAAAGCCCCAACTTTGCGGACACCCTGTATATAAATGAGCGCTAGGATGCATCTTTTGTTTGTCATGGTATAACGTCATTGGCACAATTTACAGAAATCGCATCCAATATCGTTTACAACGTGGGATCCCGAACTGTCTTGGTTTTGCTACTTGTGTAATTAATTGCCAACCGCAAAAAAACCTATACGAGAACTTGCTGCTTGTAATCGTCCATGTTTTGCCTCTTAATCAGCGACTTGCTTCAGCGTGTGCAGTGTAATCTATGTCTAGCGATTAATCAACCGACCATTAGGTACATGCTTTTAACTTTTAACAGACTCACTCGCCGTTTGTTGTATGTTCTTCGTTCGTTGCTTGTACATACTTAGGATGTATTAAAATTTCTTGGTACAGTCGCTGTTTGTTCGACAGAAAGTACAGTGTTTTGTTATGTTGGTGGAGTGTGTTAGCGGATACGGTCTAAAGTGATTAGCGAATGTCTTTCCTATGAAAGTACAGGTATATTTCTATTATCATCGCATTACCGAAACGGGTCAGGAACTGCTTGTTGGTCAAAAATAACATTCTATATATTTTTAATATTCTATTTTCATTGACACATGCTAGTATACTACATACTTTGCAGTATGCGTCGACAATCGCCATAACCTATAACACTGGTGAACAAAATTAAAATAATTTTTTGTGACATGGACGAAACAAGGTGGTTATTGTGTAAAACCTACCCAAAAAGCCGGAACTAGCAGTCGTTTTTTTCACCCACGGTTTTGATGCAATAAGGCATTTTATTTGCTGTTTATACTCCTAAAATATATGTGTGTAAGAGTACTAATAAACACTCGAATAAACATTAATCTCAGAATGTTGTTGTCGATGTTTTACGGCGAT